ATGGCATGCACAAAGACTGGCTTCCATGCGTTGTCTGAAGAGCCTCGCCCACATAATTTCCAAGCTATCTGATGACACTTTCCACCTGTCTTCCTTCTCTTCTAGGCCCGTGTGACTTGGCATGCCGTACAATCGTCCTGCCCACAGCTTTAACCGACGTGACAGCTCTGACTGCGCGGCATTAAACTTCCAATACGACTCGAGTCTTATGTGCAGGCCTGCCCCCTGGCTTTTGCAATGGCGCACACGGTGCACAGGGTCGAGTTGGAGTCTGCCAGAAAAGGGCATTCGTGGATAGCTGCGTGGGCACATCTCCTGTTAGACAGCGTCAAAATTCCTCGCAAAGCACTCTGGCCATCATTGGTATAGATTAAAGAGGCACCTGGAGTGTTGGATCGGCGCGGCGTGAGCACTTCAACAATGTGATAAGGTGCCAGAGGCATGTTCATCGTGTGCTATGCCGAAACTCTCATGACGAAGTGGTTTAATGCAGATTCGTGAATAAATTCGGATGTGATGATTAGAACAACAAAAGACAGATGTAAGAGGAGAGGGAGCGGGGTTTCAGATTATGGAAAGGGGCGGTGATTCAAAATAAAAGGGGAAAGAATGTTATGTAAGAAGAGAAGATATCAAGAGGCATGAGTAACATGTGCAGGGCTTTAATCGAACTTGAGAGGAATGGATAGATGCCAGGCAATTTTATACACGTTACAACTTGTCTTGGATGAGGACTTGTGTCTAAGAACCGCCCGGGTAGCACATCACCTGTTTAATTGCCGCCGTTACCGGATCAGCAGTCGACATACAGCGTTTTCTTGCTGCGTTCGCGCCCGTAGCGTTGGATGTATTCAAGCAAAGATGTTCTAACACCTTTGTAAAGCCTATCTATGCGGTACTCTGCGATGATTACTGCTAAAAATAGGAAATTCATTGCCTCCTGGACATGGAGCTTCATTTCTTCGTGCTCGGTAATGTACGCAGGCATAGAGTCTTCGCGTACCGTGGCACTTCCGACTCGGATGCGCTCTGCGCTATCTGTACAGCCTGTCTTTCGAGTCTCTGCGATGAAAACTTTTGACGCACTGTCTGGGTCTTCAGATTCCTCGACGGACTCAATGGTCTCCTGCGCAAAACCCTCCCGTTCGGAAAAGGGCTGTTCTCCCCACATCTCTGCAGAGCCGATCGCAGCAAGGTGCGGCAGCGTCGAGTCGAAAGCTGCGATAATGAATTGCGCGTCATGACCTTCTAGGCTCGCTAGTCGAACGTAAAATTTCTGAGAGTGAGCCATGGTGCAGTAACCGAAGCCCGTAATTCCGAGTAGCTACCCATTTACACTGTTTCATCTGGTTGCATGAGTTTATCGACGATATTAGTGTGCTGGCTGTGGAGCGATGTCTGATCAGCAGACTGCCGGCCTTATTTCCATCAGAGACCATATTGGAATTGTGAGATGCTGAAATAGCTCATATTGCAACAGAGAGTCATGCAATGATGCTAAAAAGGATTCGATATAACGAGAAGCTCGCGACTCTAGAGTGTGCAAAAGACGACCTCAAGCAATTAGATATCCACCGCACGTTAGTTCTCGGTAAGACAAGGATCCTTAGCTTCGCTGCCCTGAAAACGCTGACAATATCTAATCTCCCCCCACCTGAGACAATGGAACAAGTGCATAGTGATGGGGAGTCGGAGGCTGAGTTGTCAGAAGACGGGCTGGCCGGACTTACTGAGCAGTCGCAACATGAAGAACCTAATGACGGTGAAGAAGCTACCCTGTCCGGTGAAACAGAGTTCACATCGGAACCAAGTACCAAAAAAAAAGAAGAGATAATACTGAGGATGTATGCCCTATTGCTTGTGGTTCAATCCCACAAGTTCTACACCTGGGTCGAGACTGCTGAGATGAATTACCCAAAAATAGCAAAGCAATACCGTGAGCGCTACCACCAGAAGCTGGAGCCGTCCTTGAACCACAAGCCTGTTACACCTAAAGAAGGGGCTCAAATCGAACATCTCGTTTCGGAGATCGGCAAACGATGGGCCCAGATTGCACAGCAAGCTACATGGTCGCAGCGATAACTCTGTCAAAAATCGGTGGTATGCAAGGCGTAGGCTCCGCAAACAACTCGCCCGCCACCAAAAGAAGAATCCTGTCAGGGAGGAGAATCGCTGCCGAACCGGCGCAAGAGAAGACATGATACGGGCATTACCACCGCTAAATACGGCGCCGTCTCACACGACGCAACATCGCCGGCCAGCGTTTTGGTCTGACCCACCTTCGCCGCTCCCCTGCTCGCTTAAGTCTCCTGACTACGAAGCTTATCAAAGCACAGCATTACCATACAAAACTGCTGTCATTCAACATCAAGGCATCGAAATAACATCGCCACGAGCGTCACCCGGACGCTTTTTGTCTAGTAGTGATATGACGCGCAGCGTGAACTGAGCAGATGAAGCTGTCTTTCATACTGGGCTGAGCTGCAAGTTGGAGATAAACTTTCTGCATGAATGTACGGTTGATAGGGTGCTTGAGGAAAATCGAAGTCATATCTGTACTTGTATGCTCGTCATGTATCTGAAATGTAGCTATCTTGGCCGGTCACAGGTGAAATGACGCTTGCAAATATTTGATGGAATCCACATGAGAGCCGCTATAGCTGACCTGGGGCCGCACACCAACCAGCCGCACGCGTAGCGGGATCTCCACTCCTTTCGGCAAGCCCTGCCTCAGCTGCACACTAAACGGCAAGCAAGCAACTACCAACCAATTCGTTCAACAAACCCTGTTAAACATCGGCTTGTTTTGGTAACGTTCCATTTTCCTTGAACACTTTTGGTGTTCGCCTAATTGGCAGAGGATTTATCTTATCCTACACATTCGGTTCATTACTTTTGTTATACGGAATTTCATAGACAGAACATACCATGTCAATACGAGTTGGAAAGCAATTGTCGTTCGTTGAGCAGTAGTCGGCCATGTAACGGCGGCTGTATTGATCGCATCTTCTCATCACGCGATACGTAGCCTTTGCGAAGTTTTCTCTCGTTCTGTCGCGCTTTGGCATCATCGGGCGATGGGCTGAATGTAAGCTTAGTTGTTCCTTGTTCCTTGCTTGTTATCGCTACAGCGAAACTTTATATTGTCTGTCAAGTTGCTCTGTCGCGAGCGCAAACTGAGTGTCGAAGTGTCGCAGTGTCTAAGAAAAGCAATGTAGGACCAAGCCTGTGACGGCATCACTTATGCCATAAATGTATTAGCCTTAAAACATGTGTTTATAGTAGTGTATAGCTACATATTCATGCACACTTGAATTGATTTGCGTGATGCTGCGCTATACAAATGTATCACCAAAGGTTGAAAAGCTGTATACGCATGCGACGCAGATACGGGTATTGTGACCCCCTCTCCCTTGGAGAGAGGGGAGACTAAGCTCCCAGCAACGCGTGTGCTTCGTCAAAAATCCCGGGTATTCAGCGCAGGAACGCTGTCCAGGTAAAGGGTAGTATTCTATCTTAAGTGCGAATAGCGGCGGAGCTAACCGGTTATGTTGTGACCGCGTCACGGGCATGTGTATTTTTACATATTATCTGTCAGCACAGGCAAGGTAAATACAGTTGTGGCAGAAACTACTAGAAACTTTTATAGCAAGCAACGTAAATCGAGCGCACGAACGAGCAGTTCAGTGCGAGGTTTTTCATACTAAAAGTTACCATATACCAGTACGTGCCGTATTCCCAGTATGGGCGGCAAAGCATGCCTCAAGATTTGCTCCCGCCAAGTACGAGCTTGTGCACTTCACCAGAGACCCAACAGCGAACAGCACATGCTCTCCGCCTGCCGCATACCAAGGTGAAAGCATCCCCGTCGTGCAAGTACCTAGGTGTCCACATGAACACTAGATCGCGCTGGGACTATCCGAGAAAAGCTAGAAGCGGGAGCCACCGCACGACTGGCTGCTCTCTCGGCCTTGGCATCCTCATCATGGGGCACAGGGCTCACGAACCTACGACAAGTATACAGAGCATGATTGTACCGCAGATGCTGTACGGATGTTCAGCATGGTTCATTCCGGGCTCAGGATACACAAGTCGTGGGAGCTCCATGATTAGCGCTATTCGAAATGTGCAACGCCGCGCTGCGCAAATCATCACGGGCGCTTTCCGTACGACAGCGGGCAGCGCAGTCGACGTCGAAGCCCACCTGCTGCCAGTGGGTCAACAGCTTGAGCAGACAGCGGTTGAGACGACAATGCGCATCAGAAGCACGCCACTTTTCGACGACATGGCTGTGATTGAAGGAAGTCAAGTGAGCGCGCGTCGGCTTCGCGACGCCGCGAGTCCTCTTGACTAATCTTCAACACTACTGGAAGACAAGTTCGGTGTCCAACTGAACCAACTAGAGAAGCGGAAATCACACGTTGTGCCGCCTTGGTGGGCACCACCGGATGTCAGCATAGCCAAAACGGCTGCAGATGCAATTAAAGGGCATAATGCCATGGAACTGGGCGCAATCCGTATCTTTACTGACGGAAGTGGGGCATCTAGTGAGAACGTGGACGCGCCGCGCGCCCTATGGGGCCCCACTAAGCGGGTACGACTGCACCTTTAGCCGTAGAAGGCTCGATAGCACGTCCTAAAGCCTACTTTAGGGCGCAAACGGACGTAAGGTAATAATCAAATCAAATCAAAGAAATCAAATGAAAAACACATGGGATGAGCTTCCCGGTCAAAGACGTTCAACATCATTGATAAAAATTCAGCGTCTGCTTCTTTGTTACTCACGTACAAAGCAACAAGCTCTAGCCGGTGTGAAGATCAATGGAGCACCACGTTGCTCCAATGTCTTGTTATCGACCCAACCAAAGAAGACCTGTGTCCCGAAAACATGCTACTGAGAAATCATTTTTCAAGTCTTGCCTCGAAGTTGGCTTGGGTCACATATTTGATTCGAATCTAGACTCTGCAGCTGACCCAACACGGTCAAGGCGACCGCCACTCATAAAGAAGGGTAATCCAAGTATAGCCACGGAGGCAACGAGGACAAAAGGTGCCGCCGGGTGCACCTTTTCCCGCAACACGTGAATGAACCAGTCTTTTTTTTTTAAAAAAAAAATTTTTGTCCCTAGAACTGATTCAAATATATATTTATACTTGGAAGCCACTGTCAATGGGAGCAGCTACCGCCTACGATGCGTAGGCCCTTGGGCTATGCGACAACGAGCAGTTACAGGCGGCGCTCGATCTGGGTACTCTCCTGTTTTACCATTGTATAATCCGGAGATAGTTGGTAGACTTGAGACAGAGCTTTTAGTTGAAGACATTGCTACATGAAAAAGGTGTAGTATAAACCTTGATGGGACACTCCATACTTGTTTCCAATAATATAATGTTTTCTGTCTCGATTTCCTTCCTGTTCTGGTGTTCACCATCATTTCTCTCTGCCGAGTACTACTACATAGAATAGACGGAGTCTCTAAGCTACCGAGCAACTCGAACGCCGAAACCCTCACGCGGCCAAAGAGGTACGGCACAACTATCTTCATTGCATTGGTGCATGAGTAGCTGATGCGCAAGGGCTTTTGCCGCATCGGTTGGCATTCCATGCTCAGTTCTGGGACCAAAATTGGTGTGGCAACCAGTCACATGAGCACAGGGCAAAGAGGAAGTACCTTTGGAAGCTTCCAGCATCTGATTCTGGTGACTCGCGAAGCTATTTCAGTGTAGAGTCCAAGCCAATTTCTTTTCGAAATTCTTTTCGGGTTTTTTTTTTCCGAATTGCTTTCTGCTAGCAGGACTTTGCTTCACCTATATTCAGTAATGACAGGGCGGCATATTTGAACAAGGGCATGAGATCGAGGAGCTTGCCATTGATACAAAACTGGCTATAGGATTTCACGAGCTCTAGAATGCTGCTCGCGGCCTGCTTGCACACCAACTCGGGCAGTGTCCCGTCGATGGCAATCGGTGCCCCTTGGTGGATGTATGGCGTCAAGACACACAAGACGCAAAAGTGATAGTAAGTGCTGATTGGACAGTTCATTGTCAGCTCTGCTTAGGCAGCAGGATAATAGGATCCAAACTTGGTCCAGCTTGGAAAAGGGTGCTTACTGAACAAAGAGAATAAGCCGCATATGGCGGTCTCCGCAGACGTTGGTATAGTGGAAGAAGGAAGCATACCAACTCAAACCTTGCTGATAAACATGTACAGCCTGCCTGAAAGTCGTCTTTTGTGCCGCCGATCGTGCTGCATACGTCCATTCTGTCAACTGGAATAGCTTGGCAGCTATCACGCGAGGGTTGTCCGGGGTAGAACAAAGGTCTCTGCGGAAGAACGCATCATCTATGATGGTGAGCTGATCATGAAGAATACGTCATGTTGGCAGCGAAATGTGAGCGTCACACCTATTATGGAACTGGACAGGTCTAATAGACACCGAACAGCGATCCCCTCGGATTCTTCCGCATGATTACTTATCTTGCCAGCTCCGCTTGCGTACTCGCTCAATGTTTTGTTATAGTCTGAAATCAGATAAAGTACCCTAGGCAAAGGGACTAGGTGGTAAGTATAATCCTACTACGGGACGACAAATGCTCACGAAGAGGTGGCTGCGACTTACCTGTTGGAGGAGACGGCAGCACAACAAATATTCGCGTGCACCTGCTTATTCGGAAAACATAAACTATCGGATTCGATTGGCTGCTCGGTGTGCCACTGCTCAATGATTGCAGCACCAAAGTCGGCCGCGAATCCCTTGCCGTCATTCAACTTATTGCAGCCGAGACAGTAGAGCGATAGGACACCGAGCGCTTGTATGTCGGCGATGCGCCGCGGGAGACCCGTGCCGTTGTACAAGGCAGATATTGCTTCGCGGGCAAATGCCTGCCCGAGGTCGTCGTCTTGAGGATTGCTCCTTGCTCCGGATTTGGTCGCGAGACTTGCATTATCCTTGGCCGAAAGAGTACCCAGTGCAAGGAGCGAATCGATAAGAGCCGTGGAGCAGTATAGACCATGGCCTTTTCCAAAATCGCGCTCAAAATCATGTTTATTGATGGGACAGAAAATGAGGCAGTCCCTAGCGAGGATGACATCGAGAAGCTGCGGGAGCTGCAGCCGGTAGTGCTCCAGGTTGGCGCGAAAATGCGACTCTTGGGAAGAGATGCCCGGCAAGACGATGCAGGGCGACGGCGCATTGCTTGATGTGCCAGCCGACGTCGGTGGGCTGTCCAGTACGGTAGCTACCGGACTGATGGTCGACGTGGTCTTGGTCACAGGAGGGCTTGCGACGGTGGAGGCGTCTGCAGCAGTGACAGGACAATTTTTCATCAAGGTCAGAGCCAGCACCCATACGTGTGACGATCGTGACTAGAAGATTTTTACGCAGAAAGTTTTCTTACCTTTTTGGCTACATTCATCTTGGGCAGTGGGCCTCTGCGCTGCCACCGACGAAGTAACTTCTGCACGTGGCTGGCCATCAGAGAGCCGGCGCAAGATGCTATTCAAGTCGGCCGGGCTTGTTTCCTTGGACGATAGAAAATTGAGAAGCCTGTCGTTTTCGGAATTTATCAACTGCAGGTGCGCCAGCTTTTCTCGCAGGTCTGCCTTGGAGACACGAGGGTTCTCGATATCCACGCAGCCGACACCGCCTTTACGGCACCCTCGACACGGCTTCGAGTCGTTTCCATTGCACTTTATGCGTCGACAACGAAGTTAGTCGAACGACGCAAAAGAGAAATTGAGGTCATCAAGGCAAAGAATACAGGCCTGCCTGGACTCACTCCTGGTCAAACCTACCTTGCGTTTCTTGCGGCGACAGCGCTCGCAGGCACGATGCGTAACTGATTCCCCACGCGGCATAGCAGTCTGTTGTTTTTCCCTGGTTTCGCGACCATTCATACAGTTGAGTTGTCTTAGGCACAAGTCCAAGGGGGTAGCCTATTATTTATGCCGGAGGCAGCCCCGTATGGGGTCTGCTTGATCGTCGCACCATTAGGGGATTGGCTTGTAGACTGAGGGCGTCGAGGGGAGAGGGGTAGTTTGCCAAAAGGCACACCTAGACATGCATACTCGTCAAATGGTACAACCCATAACCCTGACGTCCTGGCTGGCTGGGAGAGGTATGGGGAGAAGGCGGGAGAAGGTCAAAGAAGAGGAGGGAGTGCAAAGATGTAGTGGCAAACACGATGGCGTTCGCACATCAACTCAAAGTGTGTTGCAGGATCGCACTAAAACATCAATCAAAGAGAGAGGAAAGAGCTGCTGGTCATCCAGACACCCTCCTTTTAAGGCTGAGCCTTCGGTTCATAACGACACTACCCAGATTCAGAAGACAGTTCTTTTAAGGGTCTACGTATCCATGAATCAAGAGCTGAGATGCCGTTACACATTCCTTATTCTGTGCTCCTTAATGCGCATGTAAGCAGACAATGATTGTTGTCTGCTATGCTTTTGTCGATTCGTCAGTAGTTAGGCAGTTCTTTCCTCCCCCACATTTTCCAATTCAAGGGTTAGATACCTACCACGCAACCAAGGAACCAAGCAACCAAGCAAGGTGTCAAAGGTGTGTAGTGCAGCGTGGTCCCCGTATCTCGGCCGAGGGGCTGTTGCACACAACGCGATAACGTCAGAATCTAATATCATCCCTGGTTCAGGCGGCACCAACATTACCTCGGAAGGTTGAGAGGACCACGAAGGTCTGCAAGAGGGTAAATGCACTTCCAAAAACAGACCATCATGTACATCTACGGTAACTAATTATTTAGCTGAGACGGTTGGAACGGGCGACGGTTGGTGGGTTTATCGCACAAATGGAAACATTCCTTGGAGCCCGAAACCCATCCGAGTCCCCGGAGTTCATCTCTGGTCGCAGTATTAACTAGAGTCAGCCTTCCTCGACATTTATTGGAGCAGAATGAGGGGGTGTATAGTGGTATTGTTGTGATGGTTGGGGCTGGGGTGGAGACACCCATTACCTGAATCCAAAGTGATGTTACTATGTTTTGTTTTCGAATTTTCCCGTTCCGCTGACCTTTCAGCGTGATGGGTACAACAGCAGCTTGCCGATTGGCTGGGCTGACAGCTTTATGGCTGATAATATTCCATGCATATAGGTGACGATATGATTGGTTAGTGGCACAGGAGACGACAAGTGGTGTCCAGATGATCATCGTCCAATCAGGGCGATATTCTAGCCAAGCGCGAACTAAAAAAGATGAGACAGCTGTCCAACGAGTGCTTCCCGTTGAAATGACTGAAAATATAATCGCGATAACTCAACACTGATACTGGTATTTGGGATTTTCTCCGAGGTTGACCAATTAAACGCTAGATTGCGTCTAAAAATTAATTCGCAGGCGCTTGTGGTTGGCTCTGGTGATTGAATCCAACCAGCCCCCACATACGGTTGACTGGTGACAACTTCTTGCCCCGGTAGTTGCAGCTTCTCACTGGTGAGGACCCCGTATGGAGGCAGGTATACTCCCATCTTCATGCTCACACCTATATACGGCTTATCACAGTCCTCGAGAGGTTATGGGCCAGCCCATCACCCCTTCACCTCTGATGGGGAGACGTATCATAGTGGGGAATGGGCTGGCCTATTACATTCCTCAATGGGATAATAGGCTGGCTCATGTCCTAGGGGTGGGATAGGCCAGCCTATCATAATGATATAAGAAGAGGTACAGTATGAGCTGGCCAATCACAGTCTCTAGGGAGGAATCGGCCTAGTCAGTAGGTGCAGGTAGGTAAAGTGTAGGGATAAATTGCACCAGTCAGTAGGTGCAGTCGAGTACAGGGGGTAACTTTTCACCAGTCAGTAGGTGCAGTCGAGTACAGGGGGTAACTTTCACCAGTCAGTAAGCGTATGAAAATAGGAGTTTTAATAATAGGGCGTTTAAAACTAGGAGGTGTGCCTTCATAGGCTGTCGTATGAAGGCACCTAGCCTTTTTACGGCTCTAATTCTTAGCGTGGCTGGTTTCACGGCTAATGGGGTCGGGTAAGAGTTAATATTTTAGACGAATATGCTTAAGTCGATGAGAAAAATAGAGATCTTAGGATCTGTAGCGGCGGCTGTGCAAAGCGGCATCGGCAATGTAGTTGGCGGTAGTGTTTTCGTAACGCTACAGAGCGCGGCAGCAGGTGGCTATGGTATCGCGGCCGTAAATACGGCTGTCTAGGCTGCCAAGGCCGCTATTGCCTTAACTGGCGGGGTGATACTGGGACGATCCAAACAACGTGAGGTGTGATGTAGGAGACCAACGCGTTGGCAATTGGGGTTCTTCGTTTAAGTCAATGCATGCTTCTGGTGCGGAATCTCGTCTTAGTCAGCTAAAACATCCCTCAATATGCATTCTTAGGAGCTGCTCAGTGTTGAAGAGGGTTGTCAAAGAATCGGCTGGCGGTATATTGCTACTTTCGCAGACCTAAGTATACTTTGAGCTGCGGGCGTTTTTTTGTGTACGGGACGTTTGTGTTCAGTGGGGAAAGCTTGACTGCCGCATGCCATCAACGCGAAGGTGGGCTGAATTGGTCTGGGCGAAGATCCAAGTTGAGCATGGTAACAGTTGGCACGTTACTTGGTAGTGATTTGACCGACCGCGTCGGTCAAATGGACGGATTGGCTGCCAGTAAAAAAACGGGGCCTTAACCGGTTCCTGACTACTCAGAACAATGCAGTAGATTCCATGAATGCCACGGACAATGCATAGGATAGAGCTTGACCGCTGGGCCAAAAGTTCTCCATGCTGCCTAATTGAAAATTGTGATGTTATATTATCTGTTGACTCCGGCGCTTATGCCGACGTTGACAAGGGAAAAAAGGGGTGGGTGTTTCTGCACAGAAAACGTACAAAGTCACACGTGAACTTGAGCCAGCAAGGGAAAGCTTTCAATGCGAAGTCAATGTCTTACAAAAACTCAAACCTGAAGGCTCCCGTCACCGCTATTGACATAGAAGCAAGTTACAAGCAATCTCAATAGCCACGCCGCTTACCATTTTCGTCTATATGCTGAGGTATGACGCTATCGAAGTAAAGCGCTTAGCAGAGTGAGAACCGCAATCAGTGTACCACCAAGTCCACGGGCATAGCTTCCAGCCGTTAGCGCATTTTCAATACTGCCAGTCCGAACCATGATTGCAATAACACAAGCGCTGCCCAGAATCGTTAGGCCGGTGAGTACGAGAATATATCGTACATTCCAACCCTCGACCAAAAGAACTGCGGAAATTGATCTCCCGTAGGGAGAGGCAGCGTCGTTTACTTTGTCGTATTGTAATTCTCTGAGGCCGAGATTACCAACTGACAAAATTGTTGTGGCATGAAATTGGAACTCACTCGTAAGAATATACGAATCCCGCGGTGCGTAAAAACCGCAAACCCCTGGCATCAATGCCATTGTGCCACCAGTATTTTAGAGTGGATGGAAGCTACTTCTATTCGGTATGCATTCGCCGAAGTTTTCGAGATTGCTGAGCACGATTTTGACGGGCGAATCGTAAAAATGGGAGAATGACGACTGTGTGATAATAGGCTGCGATTTCATTTGTTTTATATTCGTCAAGCCATGCTGCATCATGTACAGACAGCAAAAGTTTACGTAGCCATTAAATATGAGGCTGTGAATGCATGCCAGCCTCCTGAATGTGCAGATGGGGTTTCAACGAATGTGCCGGCCTTAAAATCCGCCTTTGAGTTTGCCTTTAATTCTGCCCTTCCGTCTGCCTAG